TTCATCGATTTGCTCGAGCATGCACCAGTAACGTCTCACAACAAATTGTGAGTCTTGTTGTTACCGTTTTTGGCATATCAAATACGTCATGGGTAGCTTGCCAGGCTTTGCCGTGAGGGCAAGATACTCTCAGTAGCTTGCCGGGCTCTCTGAGAGGGAAAGAGGAATTGAACCCGGGTCCCCAGGTCAGCTGCGTGCAAGGCAAACACCCTACCGTCTGTGCTATCGCTACAGCCCATGTGTGTAATAGCATACATGTATTAATTATATAACCATTAATAAACACATTAAAAAAGGAAATTCTGGGGCTGGAGCAATAGCACAGCAGGTAGGGCGTTTGCCTTGCACGCAGCTGACCTAGGTTCAATTCCCAGCATCCCATATGGTCCCCCGAGCACCGCCAAGAGTAATTCCTGAGTGGATGAACCAGGTGTAACTCCTATGCATCACCAGGTGTGACGCAAAAAAAAAAAAAAAAAAAAGGAAATTCTGGGGCTGGAGAAAAAGTACAGTGGGTAGGGTACTTGCCTTGCCAGGGGCCAACCTGGATTCTATCCCCAGAATCCTGTATGGTCCCCTGAGCACTTCCAGGAGTAATGGCCAAGCATCTCCCCTACATACACAAAAGGGAGAAATTTTATGTATTTCATCAGGTTTTTTGGTTGTTTTTTGTTTGTTTTTGGCACGTATTACATCCTTAGAAAAAGAATTCCCCTGCTGTATATTTTCATCTTTTTTCTTTTTAGTTTTGATTTAGGTTTGGGGTAAGCCCTGGTGGTGTTCAGGGATCACTCCTGGCAGGCTCATGGGGCCGTATGGGGTGCTAGGGATCAAGCCTGGGTCACGCTTGATCCAGGCAAGCATCCTACCTGTTGTGCTGTCTGACCTCCTCATCTTGGTTCTTAATGGTTCAACTGAAGTTATCTAGTAGCAGGTTATGTTGCCTCAAAGAGGCTGATCACTACCCCTGTCTAACCTGTGATAAACTTGTAAGATTCATAATTTTTCAGCTTTGTGATCATTTGTAACTTCAGACTTGCCAGTGTGGCCAGCCTAACACAGCTGGAACCTGACAGTGACTCTGGAGCACTGCCTAGTTAAGGATCTGGCATCTGGTTGAGGAAGGCAGCTTAGCAGTCTGCAGTTCATGCTTCGCAAGCAGGAATGCCTCTGAGCACTGTTTAATGTGGCCCCAAAAAACAAACAAAAAAATGAACCTGGCATTTGCTTTTCTTCTTTGACATTGTTCATGCTTTTGAAAGTATCTAGCAGGACATTAATGTGTGCTATTATGGCAGCATAGAAAGAAGTGGAGAGGCTGGAGAGATAGTTCAACAGGTAAAGTGCTGGCCTTGCATAGAGGCAGGGTGGGATGGGGAGATGGGGGGATGGGGGTGGGAGGGATACTGGGATTAGTAGTGATGGAGAATGGGCACTGGTGGAGGGATGGACACTCGATCATTGTATAACTGAAACCCAAGCACAAAAATTTTTAAGTCTACAACTATACCTCATGGTATTTCACTAATAAAAATTTTAAAAAAAAGTGGTGGCCTTGCATGCATGCAGTGAACCTGGGCTTGATCCCCGACATCCCATATGATCTCCTGAGCACCATCGGGAGTAGCTCCTGAGTGCAGAGCCAGGAGTAACTAAGTGTGGCTCAAAAACAAAAAAAGAAAAAAAAAGAGGTGGAAAAAGCAAAAGAGAACATTTTAATTGCGCTGCACTCTACTCTATAGAGGATAACTTCATAATTATATATCAATGGTAGTTTATATATTTAGTGGTTATCACCCATAAATTAGAATTTTATATATGATGGGGTTTTCCAGGTGGTGCTCATGAGACCAACAGTGGAGGCAATTCTCAGCAGCCCAGTGCTCAGGGGACTGTGCTCTGCCAGGTGAGTGCCTCAGCCCCAGCATTGTTTCTCCATGTCGTCCTTGTGTCTTTCGGGGGGTGGCAGGAGTCCACACCCTGCAGTGCTTGGGAGTCAGTCCTGGATCTGTGCTTGGGACGCTCACCCCTGGCAGTGCTGGGCTACCAGATGTGGTGCCAAGGATTGAAACAGGGTTGGAAGCATGCAAGGCAAGAGCCCTATCCCCATACAATTGCTCTGGCCCAGTTTTACCTTTTTAATGGAGTTGATTCTCCACCCTTAGTCTCATGGTATGAATATCCTTTCATGACAGTATAAATTTAAAACATTCATTATCTTGTGGTAAAATACACAGATAAAAGTGTTGATTGTTTTAAGTGGCTTTATGCACTTTCCCGTCATTGTGCGTCCATCACCTTAGCCATCTCCTGAATGAGACCATCTTCAGTGCTACTGGGCGGGAGGGGTCCTGTGGCTAAGGTATCAGAGCCTCTCTCACGTCACTGGGGAGCTCTTACACATGCGTTTCCAGTCATCTCCCCGTGGGAATTCCTAAGGCCCCTTAGGCCTATCAGAAAGGTGTTTAATTTTCACGCTCACTTGTGGGGGTAGGGCCAGTCGGATTCTGTGCCACAGAGGCATTGCCATTCCCATGGCGAGTCACCAACATGGTGGACTAGTGGGTCCCAATTATTTTCATTTTCATTGTTTGGATTAGCAGTGGGCTGGAGCAATAGCACAGCGGGTAGGGCGTTTGCCTTGCACGCAGCCAACATGGCCGACACGAGTTCAATTCCTCCACCCCTCTCAGAGAGCCTGGCAAGCTACCGAGAGTATCTTGCCCGCACGGCAGAGCCTGGCAAGCTACCCGTGACGTACTCGATATGCCAAACACAGTAACAACAAGTCTCACAATGCTACTGGGCCCACTTGAGCAAATCGATGAACAATGGGAGGACAGTGACAGTGGATTAGCAGTATGGTTTGGTACTGATGCTTCCGTCTATTTTTTATTAAAGTACTGTGATTTCCACAGCTATTCCTGGTTGAGTTTTAGACATGCTGTACTACTGCTCTCCACAGTGTTCCTGTTTCTCTCCCATTACCCACCTCCTGCCTCCAGCCTGACCCAGATTCCCTTGTTGTTAAAGTTCGAGTCTCTGGACTCAGTGTTGCTGATTTCGGTTTGGACATGGCACTCCCATTCCTTGCCACCCCTTGTACCTGACCCCTGTTGCTTCTCATCCATGGCTTCTCCCCTCCCCTGCACTCTTCCTTTCCAAGTTGGTCTGGGCAACTTTATTTATTTTGGTTTTGGGCCACACAAGGTGCTCAGGGGTCACTCCTGGAAGGCTTGGTGGACTCTAAGGGCAAGCTGCCTGTACACGACCCCCTCCCCTCTGCACTGTAGGTCCAGCCCCACTGTCTCCATGCTCTTAACTCATCCCATGTTTTCACTTCTTGGATCTAAACTGGCGAAGCATGTCAGCAGAGCAGCAGAAGACACTTCTAGTTTTTTAAAGAGCTCATTTTTGGAGATGGCCCTGTGCTGGCAGGCCAGGGTCACTCCCGGCCCAACAGCTCTGCTCTGGCTCAGCAGTGCTGACGGGTCCACCCACCTCACCTGTTGGTTCTCAGAATGACCTGCGCTCCACCCCTTGACTTTTAGCCCCAACCCACAGTGAGTCCACACTGACCACAACAAGCCATGCTCAGAATTCCCTCCTGACTCTCTGAGCTCAGGGATTACAGGCGGCTAATGTGAGGTGGGGAGGAGAGAGACCATTCACTTTCTCCCAGGCCACCTCTGCCACTCGGGACCGTCCCTTGATGTAGGCAATGAAATTTGGTCAACAAAACTTCTGGGAGGAAAATTCTAAGGCTGATCCACCCTGTGGATACGAATAAGACCTTGAGCAGCAATGGACCCTGGGGAGATTGGACCCCTCCCCATGAAGGAAATTCCTGGAATACCCCTCGGACCTCTCCCTTAATCTGATTAACTTTAGTGATTCAACCCAAAGATCATCACCACTCCCAACCTCCCTGGTAACCTCCTTAGCAAAGGACTTTTACCTAGGAAGAAGCCCCACATGGGGGCAAACTGGAAAAACCCTATAAAAACCACCTTGAACAAAGGAAAAGCGCACATATGCTGCCTGAGCCCATGAGCTGCTTGTGCCTGGTTGACTGAATACATGTGGTACCTGAGCACATGTGTCGCCTGCATCTCCCTCTTGAGATGTGTACTTTCATGCTTTAGGTGTTTAATGTTGGGATGTGTATAGGGGCTCTCTCTGCCCTTGGAGAAGCCCAGGTTCTCTCTTGAACAAGTTACTCTTTCTCTCTCCCACTTTTCTCTCCTGCCTCCCCTTTGAAAACCTCCAAATAAGATCTGTTCATTTCACTGCTTGTCTACTCCTGAAGTTCTTATCTGCAAGGCGAGACAAGACCGGAAAACTCTGGGTAAGGCCTGGGACTAAGTTTCTTTCCTGCAAAGAACAAGTCCTTGTCCTAACGGGAGTCCGTGGTTCCTGGAGAAATCGGTGGCCAGAGTCAGCTCTGCGCTGAGAACACCAAGGGAGGCCAGGTGTGGCTGATGGCCACCTTGTGGGGCGGGGCTCTGGCCTGGCCGAGCAGACTCTCAGTTCTGGTCTTCCCAGCTGAGTCTCTGCGGCACAGGGGGGGAAGGAGAAAGTGACTGTCCCCTCCCGGCCTCACATAAGCCAGCAGGTGCGGACCGCCAACATCACGGGGCGGGAGGATAATGCAATCAGGAGGGGCTGACCCCGAGTGACATCAGGGGGCCACCTGAGCAGCAGGAACTGAGTGCTGGGGGTGGGGGGGGGGGGGGGCAGGAACAGGCGGCGGACAGAGTTCCTGACCGTGACCCCCCCAGACGGATCTGGCCCTGGCCGCTCGGGGAAAGCTCCGCTTTGCAAGGCTGGGGCTCGGTGGGCGTCGGGGCTGCAGCCCGGGTGGGCAGGTCTGGACTGCAGCCCGGGTGGACAGCTCTGGACTCCACAGCTCTGGGTGGGCGTCGGGGCTGCAGCGGGCGGGCTGCTCTGGCGGGAGCGGCCGGCAGGGGGCAGCAGAGCTTCCGGTCGCGCGGGCGCGGGACGCTGCGCCGGGCCCAGGTAGGCGCCCCCGGGCAGGGCGGGGCGGGGGGCGCCGCCGGGGGGTGCAGCGGCCGGGTTCGGACGCCGGGGCCGGGCAGACCGGGGAGGGCGGGCCGGGGGCACGGGAAGCCGCCCCCCGGGGGCCCGGCCCGGCCCCCTTTCCCGCGCACCCCCACATACCGCCCGGGCCCTTCCGCGGGCTCTTGCACGCCCCGCGGAGACGCCCCCCAGGGGCCGGAGAGCACAGTGGGCTGGACCCGCGCCCAGCCTCGGCGCCCCCAGTCCCGGGGGCCTCAGGGAAGCCCCTCCCCGGACAGCGGGCGCCGGCGGGAGGCTGGGAGCGGGCGCAGCCGCCGTGTCCGGCCGAGGACTCGAGGCCAGAAAGCCGGACCTGACTCGCCTCCCTTCAGTTAGGCTTCCCTCCTGCGTCTCGCGGGTGTCGGGGCGGGGGGCTTCCCGGCGGTGGCGGCCCCGGCCCGCAGCGCTCTCTCGTCCGGAAGCGGGAAAGATTCCGCCTCCTCAGGCCGTGAGGTGGGGAACGAGGCTCCCGTCTCCTCGGAGGGAGCGGCGGCTCCTCTCCTCAGCCGTGAGGCGGCGCTGTGGGAGTGTCCGTCCGGGCTGCTCTCCGAGTGGGGATCAAGCAGGTGTGAGGCCGTGCAGATCACTGGGAATCGATGGCGCGTGTCCCTGTGGAGGGTGACACAGTTACAGGGCCCAGCATGGAGGAAAAGCCGAGCCCGTGCCCCGCGGGCGGGCTGAGGGAAATGCATCCCTGCAGAAGAGAAAGTGTCGCGGTGCTCCCGGCCCCTTCTAAGGTCACGGGAGGTCGGGCCTGACGGTCCAGCAGGACGAATCGTGGAAGCGGTGAGTTCAGTGGAGGTGCGGCAGCCCATGCAGAAGCGCTGGGGACTGACCAGGAGAGAGGGGAGAAGTGAGGCTGAGGCGCTGCAGGGCCCTGAGTGGTGACCGCGAGAGGCAGGCAGAGCGCCCAGAGGCCCGAGGCGCCAGCAAGGACCGAAGAAAGCTCCGCTGCATTTGGGGGTGGAGGTTGAACCCCTGGGACAGAGCGGGGACTGTGAAGTGTTTTTAAATGAGTAGCGATTGCATTTGTGTTTTGAGGGATCAGCCGGCCTGTACTAGTGGGAAGCGTCTGCACGTGCACCTGATCTCAAAAATTATTTTACTAGTGACGGTCACATCTAATCACTGAAAATAATGTTTTCCCTATGTACCTGGATGGCACAAACATTGCAGAAACAGTGCTCAACTTAAAAAAAAAATGAGTTGCAAATTACAGGTAAGAAACCACTTGTATAAAACTTGAAGTATGTATTATATGTTATTTATGGGCACATTCTAATGTGTGAAAATAAAAATTGTTTTTTTTTGGGGGGGTCACACCCAGAAATGCACAGGGATCACTCCTGGCTCTGTGCTCAGAAATTACCCCTGGCGGTGCTCAGGGGACCATATGGGATGCTGGGAATTGAACCTGGGTCGGCTGTGTGCAAGGCAAACACCCTACCCGGTGTGCTATCGTTCCAGCCCTGAAAATAAAAATTGTTAATGACCCTTATATACATCAATGATCCTGAAACTTTAGCAATTCATTCAAATCAACTGGCAGCCTTGTTAAGAAACTTCAAGAGTTTGTAATTGAGTAGGTCTTTTACTCAAGAATCTGCATTTCTCAGAGTTTCTAGGTAATGGTGCTGCTACAGGTCCAGAGACAATAGCTTGACAAGCACAAGCATATGCCAGTTGGGGAGTCATTACCTGTTGGGAGGGAGCAGAACAGGACCGGGAGGATTCTGAAGGGACTTCAACCATACATACAATATTTTATTTCTTTTAGAAAGCTGCTTAAAACTTTATGATGTACTGTTAGTTGACAAAGTTGCTTGAGTTCTCATGATCTTAATCTTGAGCTTTTCCTGTGCTTGAAACATTTCAAGAAAGAGAAAGATCCTTTTTGTTGTGTGGAGAGTTGATTTGGCAGTAGAAGTAGATAATGGTCGCAAAAGGGCAGGCAGGAGGCCACTTGCTCGGACTTGCAAGGACGAGGGACAGGAGGCCTCCACAGGGCAGGTTAGCTAGATGGACATATAGTGTGGAGTGACTGGGTTGCGTTTAGGGGAGGAAGAAATCACTTGTTCTGAAACTTGAGCAAGTAGTTGCTAAGTTGCTAGTTGTACCTGTCAGACAGGGAACCCTGAGAAGAGGTCGAGACGGGAGGGGGCAACGGAGTCCCATTAGGGAATCCCAGACCTGGAAAGAACGACTGAGTGAGGTGACGGGAAAAATCTGAACATCACCAGCAGTTACATGGCTCAACCCCTTGTGTGTGGATGCAGGGACAGGGAGTGTGCAGAATGGAAAGCCGGCTTATGCTCCACCTCTAGGTCTGCCCTCCAGTGGCAGGGCTTGGCCCACCACTATCTGTCACTGAAGCATGCTTTATGCTTTTTTAAAAAAATGGAATCACTGTGTTAAGCACTGTGGTTTAAGCATGCCCCCCCCCCTTTTTAAATGTAGCACTGTAGCACTGTCCTCCCGTCATTCATCGATTTGCTCCAGTGGGCCCAGTAACATCTCCATTGTGAGACTTGTTGTTATTGTGTTTGGCATATCGAATGCACCACGAGGAGCTTGCCAGGCTCTGCCGTGCAGGCGAAGGCAAGATACTCTCGGTAGCTTGCCGGGCTCTCTGAGACAGGCGGAGGAATTGAACCTTGCTCGGCCAGGCTGGCTGTGTGCAAGGCAGATGCCCTACTGCTGTGCTATCCCTCTTTTCAAATACTAGAGGGAAATCAAAATCAAAAGAATAGTATTTTGCAATACTTGAAAAGTATATGAAATATAAGTTTCAGTGTCCACAGATGAAGTTTTGTTGGAACATAGTCATATTCACTTGACTTGTCTTCTCCAGGGCTTTTTTCACTCTGTGTCAAGAATTGGCAGAGCAATATGTGATCGCTCGTCACTTTTCACTGCTAACTTGGTGTGCAGCCTTTTGATCTGTAAACCTAAATAATCGCTCTCTGACTTACTACAGAAAAAGAATTTTTATCCCTGACCTAAGTTCTAAGTTGAAAGATGCTTGCTTACTTTCAGTAATGTAAAAGGAGATGGCAGCTGCTCTCTGTAAGCGCCCAGGGATAGTTCATTGGCTTAAGACCATGTTTTGCAAGCAAAAGGCTACAACTTCAATTCTGTAGCACCGACAATTCTGCCTGCATCTTGTGTGATGCAGGGAGCAGTTTCCAGCCATACCACAGCCCTAAGGCCCCCAGTAAGCCCCCACAGGAAGCACAGCCCTCCTTGGGCACAGACTGAAGAGCACAGCCTGTGGCAGGCCCTACATCCTGATTGGTGACCTCCAGGAGCACCATAATTAAGTGTGTGGACACCGCATCCCGCTGTATGTCTGACCCCGTGTGATCACAGCAGTAACAGTGAAGGGAAGAGGGGGGAACAAAAGTAAAAATAATTAGGTCAAAAAGCACCCTCTAAGAATCAGGTACTGATGGAGGATTTTAGCTAGGGTCAATTTCAGAAAACAAAACAGAAGAAAAGTGTCTGCTGTGGGCATAGGCTAGGGGTGGTGGTGGGAAATGGATCTAGTGAAGGCTTGGAATGTGGTGTGGCTGAAGCCCAACCAGGAACAGCTTTGGAACTGTCTTATCTGGTGGTGATTCAGTAACCAAAAAAAGGCAATAAAAAGAAAAAACTGAGACCCATATGTAAGGAGACAAATGCACAGATGGTCTAAGTTTTAGGGTTGTCTGGGTAGCGTCAGCGGTCTCAGACTACCATGTATTCGGTGTAGTGTGGCTCCCCACCCAGGCTCCTCAAGGTCGAGTGTGTTTCAGTTCTTAGAGGCCTTCAGCGCTGTGAGTAAGAACATCCAACAGGTACATGAAGAGCAGGGCCAATCAGTAGACACCCTTAAGTATGTCGCCTGGACACGTTTTCCCCATGCTGCCACTCATCAAAGGCCCTCCCGTTGATCGTCGATTTGCTCGAGCGGGCCCAGTAACGTCTCCATTGGAGACTTTGTTGTTACTGTGTCTGGCATATCCAATACTCTTGGTAGCTTGCCAGGCTCTCCGAGAGGGGCAGAGGAATCGAACTTGGGTCGGCCATGTTGGCCGCTTGTAAGGCGAACGCCCTACCCGCTGTGCTATCGCTCCAGCCCTCACAAAATGACCCCAAACTATTTATCCTGTTCTTAGGTGGGCTGGAGCAATAGCACAGCAGGTAGGGCATTTGCCTTGCATGAGGCCTACCTGGCCAACCTGGGTTTGATTCCTCTGCCCCTCTCGGAGAGCCCAGCAAACTACCGAGAGTATCTTGCCCGCATGGCAAAGCCTGGCAAGCTACCTGTGACGTATTCTATATGCCAAAAACAGTAACAGGTCTCACAATTTGTTGTGAGATGTTACTGGTGCCTGCTCGAGCAAATCAATGAACATCGGGAGGACAGTGCTACAGGTGCATTTTTGCTTGTCCTGTTTTCCTTCTTGGGTGCACATTTGCTAGCCCTTTGTATTCTAACACCTAAACTATCTGACCCTGGGGAATGTCCCATTCTTGGAGTATTTTGTCAGGGGATGATTTCTCATGTCTCCCTCTTTTTAATGTTTTTAAATGAGACCTCTTAGTACCCTGGCCATGCTGCTTCTTCGGGGGTTTCCTGGTGGGTGATGCTGGTCTCAGTTTCTGGAGGTGGTCCCACTGGATGGAGGGTGGTGGTGTTATTTCCAGACCTGGAACAGCTTCTTTTTTCCCCCCTTTTTTTTAATTGAATCACCGTGAGATATAGTTACAAAACTTTCATGTTCGAGTTTCAAGTTATACGATGATCAAATACCCATCCCTCCACCAGGGATGCACATTCTCTACCCAATGTCCCCAGTATTACCCTCCCTCCGTTTCCAACCATTCCCCTGCCTCTATAGTAGACAATTTCCCCCAGTCTCTAATTTTGTACATTATGGTTTGTAATATAGATACTG